TCATTTCACTAATCAGAATTTCAAGCCGTTATTGGTGTTGTATAACAATTTTACGGATTAGTATTCAGTATTTGCTGTTTAAAAAAAAAAAAAAAGTAATCGGTATTGTAATGTGTCATATGCTGAATGATTATTATTATGTTTATTCATTGAAATAGAATGTTGAAATTTGTACTCTATAAAAAAAATGGGTGAGACTTGAGAGACTGAAGTATAGATGTTGCATGTTTGCCTACTTGTCGCATTCAACAAAGGCCCATTTCCGTTCTAAGAGTAAGCATTACAGAAAAGTCATTGTTGCCTACAACACACACTGAATTTGTAATCAACGCAAATATGGAAGTTCTTCCTTTAAGGGGAGAACGAGAAGCATGCTAATGTTCTTCATGAGAACAAAACATTTAGAGTCCACAAATAACCCAGAATATCAAAGTTAACAGTATACTATACAATCTATAATACAACAAGACAGGTTAGATGTTGGGGAATTGGAGTCATGATGAACAGAACACCAAATGGAAGCAACAAACTACAATCATTGCTAATTAAAAACCCTAATCTTGTGTTGCATCTGTTGTTACTAGGGGATTCTGAAAACAACCATCATTTCCACGATTTATTTCCACAATTTGACAGACTTGTCGTGACTAGCAGAAGCAATCAGCCCTATTGCAGTTGATACAGCCAATGCAGCAATTAATCCTTCATGTGCTGTCAAAGCCATGGTTTTGTTCTCAACCATATTCCAGAGCTCCAAAGACGGCACTCAACATCCAAAGCTGCAGCTCAGAAACAAATTGAAGACCAGCAATATGAAACAATGATTTTGCCAAGCAAGAAGTTAACTCAAAATCATGTAAAGAGGCTCCCAGTATGATAATGCAGGTCTTTGCATGACCGCTTGCAAAAGGCTACAGGAAGGAAACAACTTACCTGGTAAGACCCAATGACCAACAATGATGATGAAAAAGTAGGATGAAAAACACAACACTGGAGGCCGTAACAGCTCAAGTCATGAATGCATTCTCCTTCAGATCCTGATCCAAATCTCCATACCCTAACAGAGTCCTCACTGACAGAGGCTAGAAACTCACCTGAAGGATCCCAGCATACTGAACTGATTGGTTTAGTATGCCCCTGTAAGTACACACACAAATTTACAGGAAAATCAGCTATCCACCAATAGAGAAAGCACATAAAATGAACCATTTTAAACCTGCCTAAGAAGAATTAAACAAAGAGAACCCAAATTGCATACTTAAAACGTTTTAAGGAGTGCTAATTACGGGCCATATTTGGCATGTTAAAACTTATAACTGCCATTCCTCCAAATTTATACCTGTTGGGAGCAGTCTTTCAGCAAAAGACCCTCAGAGAGATTAGCTGTCAAACAGAAAATCTACACTACTCCATTTTAAGTCTCCCCAAAGTGTACCACAATTAGAGCTTTTTGTATACATTAGAAGAGCAAATTTTATATGCCCTGACGAGAGCCAATTCTATTAACTTTTTCAGCAATTGAAATGCTTTGAGAATCAAAAGAGAAATGAGAAATTATCAGATATTAAAATAAGAACATAAGGAGTTTCATTGATGTCTCAAATATAAGCATTCCTATCTTTCCTCCACCTGATATGAACCATTAGTTTGAATAATTCTCATGAGTTACATTTCGTTCCCCATTGTTGTTTTTTTCCCCTTATTTTAGTGGTATTCTGTTCATATTGTTAAACAGGCCTGTAGCGAATGCTGCAAGGTTTGTGTCTCCACATCCAAAATAGATACAACATTCGCTGCAGCAGCGGCTAGGTACTTTCCAAGACGAGGTTGAAATCTCAACTGAACCGCACCGCCCTGAAGTGGAAAAAGGAATATATATATATATATATATATCAGAAAAACAATGATATTACCCCTAAAGAGGAGACCTGAATTTATCTTTTGTTACAAGCACAGCAGTCACAAGATCATACCTTGAAAACTCCTGCACAGCTCCCATTGTTAATACTCCAGTATCTTATTTCGCCATCACCATCACCAGAACAGATGAGATCATCCCTATTTGGATGAAAGTCAAGGGACATAACAGTAGTAGAATGCCCCAAAAAGGTCCAAAATGAATAACCAGGCTGCAGAAAAGGTCATAAATAAAGTCAAACAAATACAAGAAACACACTCAACGAAAAATTTAAGTCAAGTGGTCTACTAGAATATGCCAAAGAAACAGAAGTTCAAAGCAAGCATGCAGCGCGTCTAACAGTGTGCAGCTAAGTAATTGCCCATACAACAACTTATTTCACACCAAGCTGCATTCAAGCAGATAATAGTTAGCAATTCAAAGGGTTTCATGATCAGACTCATAAAGTTCCATTCTAGAGCACTGAATTTTAAAGCAGATACCAATTTTTGTCTAGCTTTTCATTCTTTCAGCAAGAAGATTAAAAGCACAAGAGAAGCTCAATTTACACATCTCCAAAACACATTGATGTGTAAACATTAGGATCAAAAGATAGAAAATTTATGCCAGTAACATCAGGAGAAACCTTTTTGCTATTTTCTTATCTATTTTCAAGCCAAAAAAAGTAACTCACAGCATAGGCATGAAGTACCAGGTATTGTTTATAAACAGTTCTTTGTTTGAGTAGTCTCTTAGACATTCAAAGTGTGGTAAAGTTCCAACATTTGAGTAGCAGCAGGCCAGCAAATTCGAAACATATGAACAACAAAGTTATCAGACCTTGATTGCAGCTCATATATATATATATATATTGATCAGCATTATATTGCAGCTCATATTTTATTACAGAAAATAGTGCAAAGCTGTTCACGCTTTATCTAGAGAGATAATTCGCAAAGAAGTGAGGCATTTAGCAATTAACATGCAAGAGTTAATTCATTATCGACAATGAAAGATTGGTAACGGCAATGAACAGGGTATTTCCGTTGATCATAGACCAAGAATGTTGATAGATCATTTCCATTGTGTGAAAAAATGAGGGACCATTATATGCAACGCTGTAAATGAGTTGAGTTACTTAACTCAAACTAAAGTTGGCCTTGACTTGACTTGAACTCAAGTAAGAATCGAGCTCGAACTCAAATCTAAGCTCAAAAGATCAAGTCGAATTCAAGTTGAACCCAAAATGTGACTTGACTCCACTCAACTCAGCTCCACTAAAGTCAACTCGATTGTACTAAAAAATAATTCAACTCGATTGTACTAAAAAATAATTATATAATCCAAATATTTAAGTGCTATTTTTATTTTAAATTAAATTCAAGTAATTAATCAAGCTAGCAAGTTGAGGTCAAGTTTACAAGTTTCGAGTTTGCGAGTTGAATTTGTGAATTGAGTTTACAAATCAAGTTCGACCTTGGTATATTTAAACTCATTAAAAACTCAAACTTGACTGACTCAATGTAAGTCATTTACAGCCCTTAATTTAACAATACGCACATACAAATGGCACTAGTAAGTAATGAATTTGTCGGTAACAGTGTGCACATGAGAGAGGGAAAAGGGAGTTGGCTCTGAACAATAAGTAAAAGAAGTGAAATCTAAAACAATAGAAAAATGTCTACTAACATTGTTAACATCCCAAACCCTGACAGTTTTGTCAAATGAAGAAGTGGCAAGGCGTGGCATGCTAGGACTGAAACGGACATCGGTAATCAAGGATGAATGTTCTTCAAGTGTAGACTTTGGTTTCATGGTATCTGTAAAAAATACCACAGCCTGCATCATAGAAACCAAAAGGCAAATAATTTGACATTTTACTCTTTAACAGAACATCACAAGAAAATCCAGATATGTAGCGAGTCAAAACGACAATGTTATCTCTGGATACACAAGACTCCATTCACTTAACTCACCTTTTTGTCATGGCCACCGCTAGCAAGCAACTTTCCATCCGATGAGAAGTCAAAGCAAGTCAGTCCCCTCGGGCTTGCTCGAACATAATGAACTTCCGTAAATGTGAACCCTGTATACAAGTTCAACTTATGTTTGTTAAAAAGCAGGACCAGCATGATATCACAGCAAGGACTTAGTCACCCTATTTGTTATTTATTTACCACCTCATTTTTGTACCCACATGATACCCATTTATTTAAATGTTCTATTGGGCTATACACAGAGGAAGCATAGAGTATTGGTGTTACCACATTGTTTTAGTAATCTGCCTTTTGTTGTAACTTCATATTAAAGTCACAACAATTAATTTTAAGTTGGAAATCACAGTATTTCGTATTGTAATGTTGATGGGACCATACTCACGGCTACTTGCATATGCTACATAAAATGTTTACATTGTGTGCTTTAGGCAATGCTGTTTAAAAGTATTTGAAAAATAAAACAATGCAGGAAAATCCATATGTGCACCTTTACTCTCATGGGATGAACAAGACTCAACGTTATCATCCAGAGATAAAAAAGACTCAACGTTATCATACAGAAATTTATGACAAAAACCAACATTGAAACCTTTACCTTATAAAATTAGTAGGTTTTAGTCATTCACCTTATAATATGACACTTTTAGCCTTTTATCTTACAAATTTAGTATGTTTTAGCCCCTCACCTTACAAAATTAGTAGGTTTTAACCCCTCACCTTATATTATGACATTTTTAGCCCTTCACCTATACGAATTGAAGAAAATAACTTTCACCTAATATTAGGTTATAATATTCTATTAGTTCTGTTACCTGACTGTTAATATCCGTTAGCATTTCGTTATTAAAAACATGAAATTTAAATTCAATTTTATTTATTAGTTTCATTAACAGAATGCTAACGAATGCTAACGAATACTAACAGTCAACTAACGGAACTGACAGTCAGCTAACAGAACTGACAGTCAACTAACAAAACTCACAAAACATTATAACCTAATATTAAGTGACAGCTATTTTCTTCAATTTGTATAGATAAAGGACTAAAAGTGTCATAATATAAGGTGGGGGACTAAAATATATTGATTTTGTAAGTTAAGGGGTTAAAACATACCAATTTTGTAAAGTAAAATATTAAAAGTGTCGCATTATAAGTTTAGGGGCTAAAACCTACTAATTTTATAAGATGAGGGGCTAAAAGTTGATTTTAGCTAAAATTTATCATCCAGAGATCCATTCTCTCCAAATTGATCCATTTCAGCTTGCAATTCAGCATCTTTGTCATCCCCAATGCCAAAATGAAATGCCAACAATGATATCTAAACAAGGAACCTCTAATTCTTCCAACAAAATATCAAGGTAGTAAGTAACGGATTACAGCAAATAATTGAATGATAAAAAAACTGTTATGATAAGATAGGGGAAGTCGTCACTATTAATAAATATCAGCCATAAGATATATATTAGACTCTAGTTATGATTTTAAATATTTTGTTTTGATTTTTATAAAATTTACAATTATTAAAAATCAAAATCAAAAATAAAAAATTTGTTCAAAACAAATTTTAACAAACTAAAACTATATGAGTTCACTATTTTACTTCAAAATAACTTGACTTGTAAGACATACTTTTAGATTAAGATTTTTAGTATTGAGAGACTTTTCCATTCAAGGGTACATATTTTGTAATACAATATAATCTTTTAAAAATATAAATTTGCTTAATTTTTGCTTTTATTTCTCTAACAAATATAATATATAATAAGTTACAAAAACAAGGGAAGATAAGCAAGTTTTTCTTTTTGTTCTTCACCAAAAAAAAAAGTTTTTCTTTTTGTTTAAGATTACAAAACTTATAAAAACCAAAATAAAAAAATACAAATGCACCAACCATTAAATTATAGAATAGTAGATCTAATAAGAAAAACAACAGTTGGCAAAAAAAATTAATAATAATAATAAGAAAAACAATAAGATGGAGAATATATTAAGCACTGATTTTGACTACAGCTCCAAGAAATCATACAATCATCATCAAATAATTAAAGCTTTTAGTCATCTGCTCATTATTGTTTTTTTTTTTTTTCCGCTTATTTTTTTTCAATGTTGTGACTCATTATACTTTTAGTTCGGCTTTTACCTTTCTTTAGTCATCAGCTCAGTATGTTTTCTCTTCCAACTAGAGTTTTTTTCAATTTTTTGACTCGTCCAGATCCTGATCATCATACGTGACCTAGTCAACATAATTGAAATAGAAAAAAAAAAA